TATATAATTATTAACCAATCTTATTTTCAATTCAGTATATTCAATAGTCGATCAAAATTAATAATAATAATAATATTAATTATAATAATAATTGTAATAGAATGTTATGATACTAATACTATAATAATCCCCCATTCTAATTAGCACGTTAACACGTTGAGTAATGTGTCAGGCATATGTGACTGACACTGAACTTCTCGTTGAGGTCATGTCAGACATAGATGACTGACACTGAACTTCACGTGGCACTCAACGTGTTAAATAAAAATATGAAACGATATATAATTGTTTGTTTACAATTTAATTTGAATCAATAATTTTAGTAAAAATGTTTTTAAATTAGTTTCTCATTCGTATAACTCTGATCGACTTATGCTTAGGATACTTAACGCATTGTTTTAAATGTTTAAAGAAATCAAACGAAAGTTATTATACAATGTGATGAAATTTGAAATAAAGAAGATAATATTGATTAACATTTAAATACATTACATTTCAAATATATATCTTTGAGATATTTTCTTTGAAGAAAACTTTCATTTAATATCTCTTTGATGAGAGTACGAGTGAGTTTTTTTTTTTTTTTTTGTATCTTCTTAAGATATTACAATGATAATCATAATGATTTATGAAACGCAAAGAACGTTGGACCATGTGTTGTTGTCTTATGTCGTTTAAATAGATCTTTTTCAGGAACATACAAACATATATTATTATTATTATTATAATTTATCAGAAATACAGATTGTATATTAGAAATAGATTTGAAATTGAAAATGCATATACATTTAATCGGATATTAAATGATTTTTTTTTTCTTTTTGTACAATCAACAAAAAGTTGATTTCAACAAAATATTAATTTGCCATAATAATTAATTGAAATTATTATTATATAATATAATTATTATTATTCTTACGATTCTTGTTTAAAAATTTAATAATCATTCTTTTGTTTCTTTAAATTATTGATATATAAATTACTACAAGGTGTAACAATTTAAATTGAATATTATTTAAATAAAAAAAGAAAGAAACTTATATAGTGTGTATAGTAAATAGTAATCTTTACATGCATGGGGATCAAATAAAAAAAGAAAAAAGAATTATAATCTATTAAAAACTGTGGCATTCACACGACGAATAAAGAAACAATATATATGAGCTTAATTGTATTATTTTTTTTTTTTTTTTACTATTATACTTCGTCGCATTACATAAACACATCGACGATTTTTCATTTTCTATACCATTCGTGTAGTATTATTTATTATCATCTTTCTCGGCCAGAAGTAAAAATATTTATATAATAATAATAATAATAATAATAATAATAATAATAATAAACAGAGATAATGTGTTAATATACAAATCGAATGTATATATGTACGATACATCAATATGATAATAAGACATTTTACAAACAAATCTTTTTTTTTTTTTATAATAGAATTAACGAAAATGAAATTTTGTTTATTTTTATTTTTATTTTTTATACGGATTGATATCTTATCATTTTTATTTAGGCAATATTATAAAGCTTTTCTTTTGTATCTTACATTATACAGGGTGTCTTATAACCAGTGATTACAATCTTATTCCGCTTGTAACATTAATAACAAGATATCCTGTATATATATATTACTTGCTACACATACAATATGTATATCTTCAAATATCTCATAGCGTTGTTACATCTAGGCAATCATAATTATATTTTAAGTTTTCCTTTGTTTTTTTTTTTGCAATAACTATGTATATATTATATATATATATATGTGTGTGTGTGTGTATGTCCGTGTTTGTTAATATATCCTACTATTATAATGATGTATCGGGAGGCAACTTCTTTCTAATTATTCAAGAAAGAAATGAAGTAAAAAATGAAATAGAAGAAACATTGTTATTATTATTATGTATATAATAAATTAAAATTTATATTTTTCAATTATTTTAATAGCAATGCTTTTTTCCACTAATAATAATAATAATAATAATAATAATAATAATAATAATAATAATAATAATAATAATAAACTGGGAACAATATACGACACATCAACAATTGACCATTCTTGGAATCGTTAACTTAACAAGAGTATAAAATTGGTTTTAAAAAATAATAATAATAATAATAATAAAAAGGAAAAAAATATAATGTGATTCAATTATATACGCTTTTTGCATAATTAATGTATAATTTTCAAAGAAAGCACCACACTTTGTATTAAGTGCGATAAAAAGAAAATTCAATAAATACAAATTTATAGTACACAACGTAATATAAAGAAGAAGAGGCCATATATATATATATAAACATAATTAATTCATTAATTGTGTAAACTAAATTGTACAACGTTTCCAATACATCCATCAAAATTTCCTTTCTTTTTTTTTTTCTTTTTTTTATTCTTCAACATAGTATACAACGCTATGTTTTTTTTTTAGGTTATACCACGTTGTTGCGTATATTAATTTATTAATTAACATGAAACAATAATAATATTATTGATAATAATGAACTATAATATAATAGAGAACGGGAACGATATGATGATATTTGACAAAATATTTCTATCATATCGTACATAATATATATTTTTGTCCATTGTAATATTTTTTGTTTTTCTTTTCTTTTCATTAAAATATTGCTATTCAATTAATACTTCAGTTTCTTTTTTTTTTTTTTTAGTTTGCTATAATAATATGTGGGTGCTCCTTTTCTTTTTATTTCATTTCTTTTCTTATATTTAAAAAATAATCAAACTGTTTGTTTCATTTTAATAAATCCGGTTAAATTGTAATACATATAACAATTTTTAATGAAAATGTGTTTTACAATATTTAATATAAACAGTAGTAGTAGAACGATTGAAAATAATTATTTAAGCGCGTTGTTTACTTCACCACGCTTATTATTTTCATTGTGTTACAATGAGGATTTCAATACAACAGTATTTTTTTTTCTTTTTTTTTTATTCTTCCTCCCCTCTTCTTCATTTTCTCTTCTTCTTCTTCATGTTCTTCTACAACACTTTTTTTTCTTTTTCATCTTTTCTGCATTTTTTTGTTTTTGTTTTTAATATATATGTTTGTTATATGTTTGTATGTCTGTTTGTTTGTTTTTTTTTCAGCAATTAATTATGACTACAATCTAATAAAATAATCTTGTTTTACCTAAATTTTATAGAAAAGTAGACTTTGTTGATCTGCTTTGTTTGATACATTGCATAGTATATCTCACATACCATACCCTTGATAAGCGGCAGCAGCAGGTGCGTATACACTTTGTGGTGGTGTAGCGTATACATTTTGAGGTGCATAACCAGGTGCCATCATACCAGGTCCAGCAGTTAACATCAGTTGGGGTTCCGCTAGAAATTTATTCAAATTATCAATGATTTATTCAAATATTTATAAAGATGTTTGTTTATAATCAACAAGAATAAATTGTTTAGGAAACTTATTAATATACTTACGCATGATCATTGGTTTATGTTCCTGATGATCAGTTTCTTCAATACGACGACTTTCTGCCTCTTCCAACTTATCAACCTATACATAGACATATTTATTAAACAATTAGATATTTGGAAAATATAAATGTATATATATATATATATATATATATGTATGTATATATATATATATATGTATATATGTATACATGAGCCGTTTATTTTGAAAGTGGCCTAACCTCATTTGTCAAATTGTTTTGTAGGTATGTTTGTAATTATGTACGTTATGTATGTATTAAAAAGTGTTTTGAATCGCATAATTTATGTTTCTGAAGTATTTTAAAGATATGTCAAGTAAATTGAGTATTGTCTTTTTTTTTTTTTTTGTAATTTGAAGCATCTTAAATTATATTAAATGGAGTTGGGTCCCTTTGAAATTTTATAACAAATCAGATTGTTCATTTTGAAATTGGCCTAACTCCATTCGTGGTTAGAAAACGTATATTATTCATTTAACAATTGGCACTATTTTAATAGAAACTATAAATTTAACATCCTTAGCAGTATAACTCGTTAATAACCTGTACGTTTATTTTAGTGTTAGACCATTTTCAAAATAAACGGCTCATATATGTATCATAATAATGATTACAAATTACCTTTACCTTAGTAATATATTCACGTGCTACTTGAATAAGATATGGCATCGCAAAAGATAATATACGATGTCTCCACGCTAATTCTAAGATAACATCTGGATGAAGTAAATCGTAACAATGGAATAAACATGCTGCGAAACAATCTTTCGAGCCTCTTTCCAAAAACCATTCTAATAGTGCTTCAGCAACTTCAGCATCTCGAGATTCTGCAGCATACTCCATAGCATCCCTGTTATAATACAAAAACAAAAACAAAATATGATTATCCATATTGTAAAGAAGAAAAATACAAATTATTTATCATCAATTAGTTGCAAGTGAATAAGAAAAAAATGCATTGCAATGTGAAGATTTGAATTTATTTTATGGGATTGGCAATTAAGTCATTGGCAATCCAATCATTTATTTGCCAAGCCAATAGTAGCACGCGTTGATAGCAAATGTTAATACTTGCCTGAATAATCTATCTTTTTTACAAAGCTCTACAGATTGTTTCCATCGGTTATTTCCTTTGTATAAATACGCGGCAATTCTTCTGAATTCGATTAATTCATGCTTTTCCAATTGTTGTGCCAACGCAATATTATCAAAATTATCAAACGCATCTATCGACGTTCTCAGACCTTGATAATCCTCTTCGTCTATGAGCAAGCCATTTAAAGCCTCGTTAATAGCTTTGTTATTAAGTGCTTGAACAGATCTCAAATATGGTTTTACTAATTGCAAATGTCCGGTCCTAGTGAAATATGCGACTGCTCTTGTGTGATCCATACGTGGTGCGAGTACAAGCAGTATATCATTTAGCAACAGTGGTTTATACTCAACATAAAATTGTATAGCTTTATAATACAGTTCAACATTTGCCACTTTAGTAATTACATCTTTGAAATGTCCTTCGCGCCAAGCTTCCGTAGGATGTTGCATCATTGCTAACACTGCGTTATCGTATTCTTCATATTTGTCATATAAAAATACAAGCTCTGCCCATAAATGTGCTTGTTCGGCTGCACGTAGAACCTTCAATTATTAGAAAACAAAAAACACATTTTATTATCCTTTCTATCATCCTTTTTTTAATTATAAATAAAACTAATTATTATTATTATACCTTTGGTATATTAACACGAGACCAAAATAGTTCAAGATGTTCTCTCATTCTTTGAGGTTTGTATTTACTATACAATATGGCTAATTCTGTAAACATTCCCATGTGTGCTCTTTCCAATCCTAAGGCAGCTTCCAAAAGATTAATCAATTCTTCAAAATGTCCTCTGTCTTGATAATAATTGATTAAATCTTCCAACTCATCGGCATGCACAACAATATGTAATCCACACATTTGTGCTAATCTAAATTCACCGCTGTCGACACATGCGAAACAAACTTCTTTCCATGTACGAGTTGAGTTTGCTTTGCGTGCGCTATCAACGGCACCTTGAAATTCTTTCAAATGAACTAATGTTATAGCTAATCGAGCAAAGTTTGATACATTGTTATACAAAAGTTTAGCCGCTTCATACATTTTGTCTTCGAAACATCTATCGCCAATCTGTAAATTAAATATTAATTAATCAATGAACAAAAAATAATGTAATCAATAATATATATATACATGTTTCTTTGATACCTTTTGTATATCGGCATGATTAGGCCCAGAAATAAATTCTTCCAAATCGGCAAGTCTGTTTGTACGTGCATAAGCATAAATTAATTCACTTTCGATGAATGATTCGCGTGCTTTTTTACGTGCCATTTGTAAATAGCGAACCAAATCTTCCCAATGTGAAGTACGATGAGCAGTTTCTACAACGTCGACGTAAGCTGATGGATCATCAGCTTTGATGAAACTATCGATAGCTTCTTTAACCAAACCCTGTTGTAATTGTGCTTTGGCTAACTGTGACCAAACTGCAGGTTCGTTACATCTTTAAGAACAAAGATAACATTAATTAAACGTGTGTTTAAAAGAAATGAATATTATAAATTACTTTGTATATAATTTTAATTTACCTCTCAGCAAATTCATATGCTCTATCAAGATTGTTAACTTGTTCAATAAGAACTTGTATAGCTGATGTATTAACATCGAATTTTTTAAAGATAGCAAAAGCTTCTTCATAAAGTTCATTATTAATAGCAATATTAGCTATATCTGGTGCGTCATAATTATCCAAACGATTGATGTATTCCATAACACGTGTACGATCAGCCTTTATTGCTGTCAAAATCAATAGATTTTGTAAATTACGATGATCACTGAATACACTGCTATCAAGTACTATCTTTTCGAGAAGTTCTATTAATTCGTTTGGCAAATCGGCTGTCATGAATGCTTTTACTGTGACCGATATATCTTCTGGATCTTGCGTCTCCGATAATGCTGTTTGAACGATCTATAACAATAATAATAATAATAAATTAATAATAATATAATTAACCCTTTCACTTTGGCAGTCCAGTTTGCCGAAGTGTTGTCACGGATGCCGGATATATACGGCGCTTGAAGTGAAAGGGTTTTAAGAAAATATTTCTACAGTTTAATTTGTATTAATTTTACAAACCTGATCGATCAATGGTCTCTTGTAAGGATTACCCTCTAAAAGAACTTCAGCCCAAAGATCGGGATCTCTACGTCTAACCAAATATCTTGCTTCACTTTTGAAAAGACTGTTCTCGTTGCATACGCTTATTAATTCTCTATCACATTGTCCACGTTCATAAGCGATACATGCTAAATGTGGATCACGTTTCTCACAATATTTACCCACTACTCTGCTATCGTAAAACTGATTTTCTCTACAAAGAAAAAATATAAATTGAATTTATATATATTTATTTTTGAAGGTAAGGCTACCAACTTAACCTCAATAAAAAAATATAATCGTTAAGAAGAAGTATTGTATAATACTTACTTGAGGAATCTTTCAGGATTATTATTACTATCGATATATATTTTAGCCAGTGCATTATGAGTTGCAGGTTCTACGCATCCTTCGTGAACGCGTGATTCCAACCATGGTAATAATAATTTCAATCTGTTTCGTTTCTCAACTTCTTCTACCAACTCGTCTGTAGAAAATTGTCCACGTACGACAAGAATTAAATTTTTAATTATATCTTCTGAACAATCAACGTCTAACAAACCACCTACTACAACAGGTAAACGTGATGGATTCACCTAAAATTAATGAAAGATTCAAATTTAATATCAAAGTATCATATAAAATTGAAAAGAAAAATTTTAATTATTATAAAACAATATAACTTACTTTTTGAACATATATTTCTATGTATTTTTGTAAATTGTTTCGATAAAGGTATAAGACTAGGTCATGAACAAAATCAAATCGATCGCAAACGATGATCAAAGGTAATTGATCCGGTAATTTGGCCTCTTTCAAAAAATTTTTAACACGTTCGGGACTATAACAATTACTTTCCCTGCATATACGTTCAACTTCTTTTATTTGATTTGTCTTGCATGCCGCTTGTATATATTTGAAATGTACTTCTTGATCTTGACTGAAATTCACTATAGATCCCAAGAAATAAAACAATCCCTCGTACGATTTGAAACTTTCGAATAAATCTGTAAAATGTATAATATTAATTAAATAATTGATTCTCCAAATGAAATCTAAGGCCTGGTCAAACAAATTAATTTATTTTTTAATTATTTGAATAAATGTTACGTACCTATCAGTGCTTTAGTTGTTAATTGTTCGTGATATTTCGTTGCAATTTGAATACAAATTTGTAAGTTTTGTCTTATGTTTGCAGTTAACATAGCTTTTAAGCATTCAAGAGAATCTTCTACGGACAATGTACCAAAAAATCCTACAAGCCAATCGGGTGATAACAGATGCGTATGAACGACCGCTCTTTTAATGTCGTACAAATCGGTATAATGTTCTAAAGCACGTTGTAATAAACCAGCTTTCTCGCATAATTGTGCAACATGCGCTCTATCGTAGTGAGTAAACATTTGATTTCCTAAAATAGCATCGGCTACTTGCGGAGCAGACATTAGATTCATTTCCAGGAGGCGTGTTTGTAAAGCTCCTTCGCTTGGTCGATTATTTTTAAGTGCATCTAATAAAAATGCTGTACATTGCTGTACCATATTTTGCTCCATAAATATATCTACAATCTACAACACAAAATTTATATTCAAATAAATGAATAATCATTTTTAGAGTTAGTATAAGAAACAAAAAAATGAAATCATGTTAAACGTTAAAATTGTTAAACAAGAAAAAACAAACTTACTTGATTAATATCAGCTAATGGCTCTGCGTCTTGAACCAACATTTGCGCAAATGCTACACCTTGATCTGGATTAATTCTCATTAAATTTCTTAAAAGAAATATATAATCTGGAGTATAAGAAACCTTTTTAGCATATAGAACAATCTTTTGAAATTGGCCAGTTTCAGCAAAGCATTGTATAACTTTATTGGGTACGTTAGCCCTTAAGTAAACACTTAAAGCAAGAGTAGGATCAGCTTGTTTAACCAGATCACCCAATTCTTCGCTGCATTCTAATTTATCTTCTTTCAACCATTTTTCAAGAAGTTGTTTGCGACCTTGTACTAGTACTGGTCTACATAATTCTAATGATTCGTATTTATTCAATTGTCCTTGATCCAATAGAATTCCAAAATATTGAAGCAACGGTGAAGTTTGTCCTTGCGTAGCAGGAACCTAGAAAATAAGAAAAAAGAACACACAAATTATTATTATTAAAAATAAATAAAACGATAGAGGAGAATTAAAAGATTAAATTTTACCTGTTGGAAACGTTGAATAGTTGCAGGAGTTCTTAATATTCCTTTAGGTGCGTTAGCAGCAACTTTTGCAGCTTCCGCGTATTGTCCATTTTGAAATAGCATATTAAATTTTCGTACAAATAAATCTTCCGCACCTGACAAATTATTCCTGACAGCCATTCTCAAAGCCAATTCAGGATTTTGTAATACGCCATTGATATAAGGAATGATATTCTCTTCGTCCACGGATACGGATAAAACTTGACCTTTACGATTAACACCAATGATACCACCAGATGCTTCATGTGGTGCCGTAACAAAAATGGTCTCTCCCGAGATTCGATTCATAAATATACAGATCGCTGATTCGATATCGTACATATGTATATAACCATATTTGGTAATTAAATAAATAACATCGTATTTGGAGCTAACTTGCATAGCGACAGGAAAATCGTTTCCAGCTTCGGGTGGGAAAAATACATCAACTGCTTTTTTGGGAAACGGTTGATTTCCAGCCGGTGGTTGTCCTACTTCTATAATATGTAGTTTTGCACCTTGTACCGTTCTAACGGCAAAACAAAATAAGTTACTAGGTTCAGGATTTCCTTCCATTTTAAATTGCGCAAATGCAGCAGCATGTCCTTCGATAGGTTGAGAACATTTCCTATCTACGGAATATAATTGCATAGCGCCAACTACTCTGTTATGTTGTGCAGAAATACCAATTAATAATAACCAAGTTTGTTTTGGATCTGTTCTGTAATTAATTATTTGACATCCATTTAAAGACGAATGACGATCAAACATCTTCATGGGTGTAGAATCTCCTTCCATTGACCAATGATAAACTGCACTTTCGGTAACTAGTGCTATAGTGTTTATAGATATCCACTTCCAAAATACTACGTCTTCTGTCATAGTATGAGCCTTCATCTTTGATTTCATTTCAATATTAAATATTTGAAATGTTTTTACAGCTAATTAAAATTGAAAATTCATATTTATTAATTAAATAATCTATTACGATATAGTTGTTTGTTTTAAAACATTACTTATCGTCAATGAATATGCACATAAATATAATTCATTGATAATACTAATGTTTTAATACAAAGAAAACAATATTACATTTAATGAAATCAATATTGTGTTACCTTTGAGTGCGATAACTTTACTCGCAGGATTCATGATTACGGAATCGGCAGAGATAGGTCTTCTAGTTGGATTTGTAGAATCATTCATATCGATAATAACTACCTGGGAAGTATCACCAACTTTTTCTCTAACGCATATAAATTTATCCGATTCCATAGTAAGTGTATTAAAGCTGGCATTGCTCGCATTGATTCCAACAGCTGTCAGCTACAAAAAACAATACTCGATAATTACCATTAACATTGTTTTAACATCAAATTTGTTTGCATTGATTTCAACAACAGTAAAAGACTAGATAACGATATCTTATACTAATCATTATTTCATACAATTGAAACTCTTTTGCAACATTGTTTCAAACAATAAAAATTATGTTCATTGTAATGTTAAGAATTGTAATATAATTGAATTTAATGATGACCCACATAGTGAATTTAAATTTGGTGCAAGTGATGATGAAATATTAATTAATCAAAAATAGTACAAAAAAAATGTATAAAAAAAAAAGAAAGAGGAAAGGTAGGCAGGTAGATAAAGGATGAAATAATATTTAAAAAAAAAAGGTTCATAGTTTGAAAGATTGAAAACGGAAAGAGGAAGGGGGCGTCGTATGTGTCGAGTAGTAGACGTGGCCCTTGCCTCTTTTACATCGGCGTACTACTACTATTAGCAATATAATCGATCTATTCTTTCGAACTTCGATTGGGTCTCAAGCAAGAGATAACCTTATTTCAACTAACAAAAAAAAAAATGAGATAAAAAAGAGAACAAATTTCTTTTTCCCCCAAAAAAAATCCCCCATCTTTTTCTTTCAATATCAAATCGTCAACGACAGAACAAAAGTAGTCAAATAAAATATTGTAAAAATAAGATAAATCATTTTATGCGTCGTTAAATTAAGAATATATGTTATATATATAATATATATGTATATATATGTAATAAGAAAGATCAAACGAGTATCTCTAATGATATACCTGTCAAAGTAACGTCATTTTCTAATACTTCCGTTTTCAATGATCAAAATCGTGTCAATGACAAAAAATACAATGAATATGGTTTTTTATTTCTTTTTCTTTTTTTTTCATGCAAATTATAATAAAAAGAGGAGAGTGAGGGGGGAAAGGGAAATAAAACGAGGTAAAAGAATAATCAATGGATCTCAACGTATTCGTTGATGATGATATATACGTGAATCATACGTTGTAACGAAAATTGAAAGAAATGAAAGAGATAGAGAAAGAGATAAAGAGATAGATAGAAAAAAGAAGAAACAGGTCACTTACCTGAAGATGTTCCTGAAACCTTATGGGTAGTAGCTGCGTCATTTTGACGAGATTTACTTTTATCCGATGAATTTATTTCCCCCCGCGAGAATAATCAATTTAATATATATATATATATATATATATATTATATATATATATCCACTCTTTTCTCTTACTATATTCTTCCGTGTATGTGTGTGTATGTGTATGTATGTATTACTCTTTTTCTTTATTCTTCCCTTTAACTTTCTTTTTTATCCCCCTTAATATTAAAATTTGTCGTGACAATCAAACAATGGCCGATCGAATTATAATAATAATAATAATAATAATAATGATAATGATAATGATAATTAAACGTCTATTTACAATGGTCGTTGTTTTTCCACCGGGTTTGATTGAAAACGTATTATACGAGATTAAAGTGAGACAGAGAGAGATATATATATATAATTTTTCCGCTTTCTTTTTAACTCTTTTTTTCTTTTTTATACTTTTTTCTTTTTCTTTTTCTTTTTTCAATTAAATTCTCGAAAGACGAAAAAATATTATTCCTCGATCAACCATAAAGAGCGCAGAAAACCAACTGACGCAAAGCGAATGCCGTCACTACTCGCCGCTGACACCCATCATGGCCGCTGACTAAAGCGAGCCGCCCCCCTTTACAAAACCAGAAATAGTTCCCCAAAAGCGGAAGTATAACTTCCTAGAAAATCTCCTCCTCCTTCTCGCGAATGTTAATTTTATATTTTATATATATATATATATATATATATATATATTTCGTGTTTAATCGATTTTTTTTATAACTGACAATTTTTTCAAATAATTCCCTATATTTCTTCTTACAACGAGATTGAACTTTTTTTTTCCTTTACTACGATCTAATTCGCGAAACGATACCTTTACTCGATGCGATATTATTATGATGATTATTATCGAATTTAAATGTTCTATCGTACTAGCGTACTAGCGCAAGAATACAAGCCCATCGGAATTCTGTTCTCTGTCCGTGCTTCGAACGCCACCACCCCCTTCCTTCCTTTACTTCAGACCGTTACCCTCACTCTATCTCTATCCCTGTCTTTTTTCCTTTTCGAATATTCTCTATCTCTTTATCTTTCTCATTCCTTTCATTTCCACCATCTTTGTTATTCGTTACGAGAAGATAGCGCCATATGTGCATGTGCTGCTCCTCTTATCAAACAGTGATATTAACTATGACTAAAGTTAACCTCACTTTTTATTATATTACTAAAAATTCACTAGAAATGTGCATATAGATAAATATCCTTTTGTATATTTCATTGATTCACTTACAAGCTTTGTATTTAAAGTTATTATCAACTCTCAAACTTTTTTTAAAGTTTAATATCAATATTAGGGTATAAACAAACTAAATTAATATCAGATGCAAAAATCTTGGATCAATTTGAATAAATATTTAAGTTTAGCAAATTAAAAACAGGATTTATTCAACAGCAGTATACCTAAATAGTCAGAATACAAATAATTTGTACAATTTCATTAATCAGCTGCTGAGAATTTGTTTTTCTTATTCCTGTTCTTATTTTTAATCGAAAAGACCAAAACCCATGTCATCGTCTTCCGATTCAGATTCTTCCTTAGCTGGTTTCTTCTCCTCTGTTAGAATAAAAACAAATATAAAGATATTAGTATAAGTGTTAATATAAATTAATTGTTAATCATAAAGTTTTGGAATTATACCTTTCTTTTCTTCAGCTGGGGCAGCAGCAGCAGCTCCAGGTGCAGCTGCGGCTGCAGGAGCAGCACCACCGGCTGGTAACGCGGATAATTTTTCACGACCTGTAAAAATAATTGATTGTGTAAAGATATAAGAATACTTCATTGGTTAATCATATTAGATGATGATTTAAGTTGATTAAAAAGTATCGGTGGTCATACCTTGTGCTATAACTTCATCAATGGATTTCCCATTGAGTTCGCTGATAACTTTTTTCAATTTTTCATTGTCAGCTTCAATACCAACTGAAGAAAGAATCTTTTCAATGTCGTTTTGGCTGGGAGATGTTTTGCCTCCGAGCGCAGCTAAAAGATAAGCGGCCACGTAACGCATTCTGAAACAAACATTTACTTATACAAACATATATCCTATATTGCGTACAAATATTATGATTATGAATTAATATCCTCAGTTAAAAAGGTTACCATCACAATACTCAGTCGAAAGATGGTGATTAATTAAATCATCATAACAATTGTTAAACTATTTCAATGTGTGACTTATAAAACAATATTTTTAATCAAACACAAATAAAACTTAAACGTATCATCAACTAAATAACTAATTGTTGCCAAAGCACTATTAATATCACTGAACAATTTGATTATTTCATTTATAAATACTTAACACGTTGCACGTGTACAACGTAATGTAACTGAACAAAAAAAAAGTATCAAACAATATCTACAAATAATAATTTTAATCCTTAAATATTATTTAGTGTTTGAATTATATACGTTTATAAATTATGTACTAGTAGTAATATATTAGTGTAAATTTATAATAATCTATAATAATTTAAAAATACTTACTTTTAAGTCTTGCGACACGAAACGTGGTACTCGCTAAAATGAACGTGAGGATCTGACCGCAACAGCAGCAAACCTTCGTGAGATCAGCTAAACGGAAACGAGTTTTTATATATTCTAAAATTCACGAGATCCATAATTTCCGGTTTAATAAAACATTTAATATTCGACCAATCTCTATAAAGAACGAAACGAATATCAGCCAATCAAATTCGAGTGAGTTTTCAAATATTACTGGTGCTGTCCTCTATGTAAAAATAAAAACAGCCAATGAGCAATCAGAATCAGGTGCATGTAACTAGAATGCAACAATAATAGTATACATGATTTTTTAAGGTTATGAAGATTTAATTCTACAATAAATTATAAAGTATTTAATTAATTAAATAATAAAAATGAATGCCGTGCGTTTATTGACAAAAACTTTTGCTATCAACAGATGTTACAGACCGTTACAATTTGAAAGTCAGTAATTAATTTCTTTAATTCTTTTTTTTTTTTTTTAATAAATTCATATTTTATAATTTGTATTTATATTTACTAAATTAATTGAATTATATTATATTTTATTTTAGGTAGAAGATTTATAAAACGATTTGTTGCTCCTACACTAATAGAAATTACACGTAGACAAAAAAAATTGGGTCCTCAACCAGAACCCATTCGTAGTAATTTTTTAGAATGGAACAGAGGTAGTGAACTTTACTCGTTTAACGCAAGACTCAATGAAAAATTTGACAAGTCGTTGTTAGAACAAGCATTTATTCATAGATCTTATGTCATCAAAGAAGAAGAAAGTCTAAAGAAACAAGGAATACAAGATCCTAAACTTGACCTAACCGATAATAGAGAACTTATAGAAAATGGAAGAACGTTTGTTTCTAAAGTCATACAAAAATATTTGCATGAAACTTTACCTAATTTACCGGACGATGGTGTTATGTACGTTTAATGTATTTCTTAATATATTTTTTAAGTATTTGTTTTTTTCTTATCGTTGTGATTATATTTTTATTATATACAGGGCTATACACAATTATCTTATGAGCGAAGAATGTTTGGCCAACGCTTCTAAACACATTGGAACCAAAGAATTAATATTAACTGTGGTACGTTATTTGTAAAATCTAGTAAACATATTTATTAGAAGTTATTAATAATTAAATTGTAATTTTAGGAACATCCTGTTTCAAAAGAAACATTAGCTAATACATTTCTAGCACTTGTAGCAGCACTCATCGAAAGTGTAGATGCCAATCACGCTGCAATATTTGTTCGTGATTTTTTAATAACAATATTGGCGGATAAAGAATTACCAAGTGTATGGATTCCAAGTAATCCTTTACAAGAATTAAACGACCTTCTTTCAAAAGAAGGTAGAGGTCTTGCAGAACCAAGAATTATTGGTGAAGCTGGAGTTAATACACTTTTAGCTTCATATCATGTTGCTGTTTATTCTGATAAACAATGTTTAGGCATCGGTGAGTAAGTTTGAAAATAATCGATTGTATATAAAGAATATTCTTTTTGAAACTACTTTTTATATATCAAGGATGTGGTGTGACTGTCAACGAAGCTAAAGAAGTCGCTTTAATTGATGCTTTATGCAAAATATATGGATTAGCAGATTCTAGTAAACCAATAAGGTTTGATAAAGTTATTGAAATGGAGTAGCAATAGATGGTATGATATTAATTTTTGTAAAGATAATTTAAAATAATTTAAATATATATATAAATAAATAAATAAATAAATAAATATTAAAAAAAAGATATAATTATAAATCATATTTAATTATTTACACTCAATATTAATGTTAATATTATTAATCATAAGTTGTCTTTCTCGTCTTTTTGAATTTGCGCGCCAATGGCGTTAGAGATACCAAATTAAAACAAAATGTAACAATTCCCTAGCATTTTATTGGTTAATTTTTTTTCGTAATTGGCTATGATAATTTTGTAAATTACCTTAAATTTCTAGGTATTAATTCTACACGCTGAGTAGTTCGTACTTGATTAGCTAGAGATAATGACAAGTGAGAATTCTCTTGGAGCGACATCTATCGTGAAAATAAATAAATAAGAACATTTAAAAATACGTTAGCAAATCTATGAGGCATGTTAACCATAGTATAACACAAGAAGAGGAATGTCTAATTAACTCATTGTTCTGCTGACTAATGAACGTTCCTGCTTTGGAAAACTTTGTCGAAGTTTTTTTCTTGTCGATAATGATGAAACTAAACTAAAAGATAAAAAAACATACAAAATAGTTTTGTTTACGTTGATTGACAATTACATCAAAAATGAGAGGAAGGAAATTGAATATCCAAATACAAATATGATCATCATAAGAATAAACACTAGGGAAATATAATTTAAACAAAATTGTTTATTTATTAAATTAATTATTAGAGAAACGTGTTATTGGTGCATAAATACGTATTAGCTATAAAATAATAATAATAATAAACCTTAAGATTTTTTTAATCATGAAAATTGAGGAAAGCAATAGCGTGACGTAGCGTGAATAATGATACTAAATATGTATGTATATATATATATATATATGTATACTTAACAAACATACTCTTATGCGATTAGTGGGTTGGGCATGCATACATATACAAGTATACATACTTTTATACATATATACATTCATAATTTAGCAATGATATTAAAACTGTGATTCTTCCTTTTTCACGCGTTGAAATTATATGAATTGGAAGAAAACAAAATGGCGTCAATTACAATTTGTATTTTAATAGAAATATTTGAAAATCTTTTTTACTTTTTAATATTAAATAATCATTATATGATAAATTATATTTAACATTTGTTTTATTAATAATAATAATATTTATAAACAGTTAAATAGAAAGTTTTTAAATAAATGTATTATAGGTTATTTTTGTAATTTCAACTGACGTATATTTTTGATCGTTTCTATTCTTATATTTTAGTAGTAGTATACGTGATGTATATATATATATATATATATATACTACGTTATATTCAAAACCCTACGTTATTTTAGTGTGACGTGATTCTTTAATAAATAAGATAAAAAGAAATAAAGAAAGAAATATCGTAAAATGTATTTAAAAATCAGTATAGTCTTTTCTGAAGCATATATTCAGATGGATGAATTCCATTCGTCTTTCTGAACGTGAAAACATTCCGTTCTTCGTGTCTCTTTTCTTTCGTTATATGCAATAGAATATATATCTACATATACGTAAATACATATATAAACGCAATCTTATGTTACCTACCAACATATAAACACACACACACACATTCTTTTATAGTTGAATAAACGACGAATGCATACGAACGACATTTAATAAGCAAACTTTTACTTCTAACTAAAAATCGATATTTATAATTGATATTGTTATATAAATCATGGTAAAAATTTTGAAAAAAAAGAAAAAGAAATTTGTTCCTTTAACGTAATCGTCTTTTTGTAAAATCATCTAACTACGTAAATCAAAAATATAAAAAACAAGTAATATAGGTTGGTTTGAAAAAGAAAGTTAAAGCAAGTAAAAAAATGAACAATTTATTGTTCATTAACTTTTGTACACTCCAGTTACAAATTATAATATATTTACGCGCATAATAATATTACACAACACACTTAAATCCTTTTTTATTTCCAATACAATTTTCTCTCAAATGTAGATATTTTCTACTTTAATATCGATACAAAAAATAAAAAAAAAACAAAAACAAAACAAATGAAAATAGGAGAAAGATCGTATCACTTTCTCTCTCGCAAGTAAAACATTAAAACGTGACTTTTACCGGAATCGCAATAGCAAATAGATGAATTTATAAAGAACAAGATTCAAGATTAAATAATAATCTTTAACATATTAATCTCTCTCTCTCTCTCTCTCTCTCTCTCTCTCTATATATATATATATATATATATATATATATATATGTATATATAATATGTTTATACGCGTTTAAAGTATAATCAATGTGCACATAAACAAATATACATATGTATATATCATCATCAATCATATATATTATATTATATATGTGTGTATATGTTTTTTTTTTCTATATCGGTCGCACAAGTATAATATTGATTATTTATGATCCATACTATCCCCTTTAAGATGGTTCATCCTTGTCCCCGTCCACGCTCCACCTCTATATAACTTACCACCACTACTATCGCGTGAATCCCCACTCCTTCTCTGTTTCTCTCTTACTCAGTACCCCCACTCCTGGACACTTTCTTTGCCGTTCACTCCCACATTCATCGTTCGTTCGTCCATCCGTTCGCTTGCTCGCTTCGTTCGTTCGTTCCTCGTTCCTCGTTCCTCGTTCGTTCGTTCGTTCGTTCCTCGTTCCTTCCTTCCTTCCTTCCTTCCTTCCTTCGTATTTACGTATATATACGTACATGGTTATGTATATGTATATGTATATGTATGTATATACGCACGTATGTGTATGTAAGAGAGAGAGAGACAGAGAGAGAGAAATAACTCACACATAGATTGTAAAGCGTGCGCATATACGCGCATATTATCCCCCTACTCGCTCTATTCCTGCGTGTAACGACTCAATGGTGCTGCCACACCCTTTCGCCGTTCAGTAATAATCACTGCCATTGTTTCGGTGCTTCCCTATATATATCTTCTTACAAATTCTTCCATACTCTTTACTTTACAAAATTTCTAATATCCAATATCTTATTTATAATTTTAGGTTATTTTGTAATTCCATAAATTAGAATGAAAAACAAAATGAAAAAATGACAAATAGAGATTATAAATAAATTTATTTAATTAAAAAATAATAAAGAGAACAAAAATAAAACTAATATAAGAGAAAATGTACATAGCCTAATAAATTTATGAAAGAAGAAAACAATCATTATATCTGAATAAGATTGTTTATAATGTTATTGTAGGATCCCTCAATGTCTACGCCCTTGTTATATTGTCTATGTATGCGAGACTCGTTCCATCTCTCTTTTACCCTTTTACTCACGTTCATGTATATACACAGTATATATATATATAGAACACGTATTACTCTCTCCCTCCTACCTTCTCACTCTACTTTCTGATTTTCTTTCTCGTTTCAACCAATTTTCATTCTTTTTATCTCATCTATATAGCGGCCTATAACGTGCCCGGCCTGTTTCACATCAAAACGAATTTAAAGTCCTACTACTGGTAAAAGGAACGCGAACGGGTTACGCGTTCCTATGATTATTAAACACTTTTGAATCTCCCGCTTTATTTTTTCTCTCTCTCTCTCTCTCTCTCTCTCTCAATTGTGTATTACCAAATTGCACTGTTATTATTCTCAGGGACTTTGTAAATAATTTAATCTTTCGAATACTACGCGATTAACACGTATCTCAATCATAGATCATTGATAGGTCGAGATCAATTTTTATTTTGACGCTAATTGGTCAGAGGAGGTTCGGTGGGAGGTACCAAGAAAAGTGGGGGAATTTTTCTTTGAATTTCAACGAGAAAATGGGGGATACGCAAAGAGAGATTTTAATTTTTTTTTTTGCAAAAACGGTAAACACCGACACATCATCGTTTTTCGTATATATGCGTGTACTCACTTGTACATACGCGAATTATAGATCACGGTCTCTCAAGGGCAATCCGGCTAATTTAGATCAGAGGGCTCACTCCCCTCCCCCCACCCCCACCCTTCTGCTCTTCCATCAACGCCACTACCACCACTACCGCCTTTACCTCCAGTTCCCCCCTTCCCCACTCTTCTGTTATATGATTTTGCGTTAATTTTTTTTTTCTTTTTTATTAAAAGAGATTATCACGTTTAGACGATTTTTTTTTGCATCTTTTTTTTGATAAAAAGACCGCCTTGCGTTATCTCTTTTTCGTTTTTTTGCTTTACTCGAGATTGGCGAATGAGATCTAGTTATTATACGGATTATGTTTCGTTTGTCTGCTGCTGCTGCTGCTTGCTTTTATTTCTTTTTTTTAATTGCATACATATTAATGTGTGTGTGTGTGTGTAAATGTATCGTTGCAAAGCTAGGTGTAGGAAACAGAAAAGATTGGTTGATAAGAATGAGAACTGATAAGAAAGTAAATATATGTAAGCAATATTTATATACATACACGATGAATTTGTGTGTGTGTATGTAATAACGTTTCGTTTCTCATTTGATTTTATTTGAAATGAATTTTCGAGTGTTTTTTTTTAGATTATTTTAAAGGCTTATCACAGTTTAGTAATTAATGAAAAATTGACCGATTTAAGAAATAATATTATAAATATAGGACATTCTTCTTAGAAATTATTTATATTTACTCAACTCAACTCGGGAATCGTATAAATACATTCTTTTCTTTTTTTTTCGCAATGTCATATCCAACTTTAATTCGTCGACGCTATTTATAATCATTACTATTGTGAGTAGACACGGTTTTACGGTGTTTATTAAATTCTTTATTCTTTCATTTTCCATTTTTCATTTCCTTTTCTCTAAATCCTTTTATTTATTTTTCCTTATCCTATGGGATGATATATACGATTTATCATTCACATTTTCACGATATGGCTTACTTACTTAGATATCTTATCGAAAAGAAGTATTAATTCTTAAAAAGATATATATATATANATATATATATATATATATATATATATATATATATATATATATGCATGATTTTATACAGTCATATACATGTGTGTGTTGTATATGTACGTTTGTAATAATATTTTTCTATCTCTCTCTCTTTTTTTGTTATCCCCCACCACCAATCAATTCTTTAAACGTACATAACCTAATAAATTGATGAAATTAGAAAACAATCATTATATTTGATTTAATATATAAATTTATTTTTTTATTTATTCAACGATAATAAATATCTAACAAAAAAAATACAAAATTCGTATATAACAACGTTAAAATTATACGTGAATAATATTATCGTATTTAGTATGTACCACATGTCGGTATATATTCAAAGAAACCTAACTCTAACTCTTTCTTTCATCTTTGTAGCTAGTGGAGAGACTTTGGTGACCCTAACGCAAATATAAAAATGAAAAATATTGAAGGACAGTTATATACATACATACATACATATATATATATATATATACACACACACACACACATATATATATATATACTTTTTAAAAAGTAAAGTCATTCTTCTTTTTTAAACGTACGAAAGACTTAAGAATATGACCAACAACAAAAAAATTAACTAAAACCAAAGAAGAAGAAGAAGAAGAAGAAGAAGAAGCAATAATCAAATGTTAAAATATAAAAAAAAGGTGATGAGAGAGAGAGAGAGAGAGAGAGAGAGAGAACATCCTGAGAGCGGCCATTTTATCTCGCGAGTTTTATCGTATCATACATATATGTATAAATGTATAAGTCGATTGTTTTGTAGAAATGTCGAAAGATGGAGATAGAGAATGAGTGAGAGCGAATGAACGAATGACTAACATAAGAAAGAGAGAGAGTGACAGAGTGTGAGGAGAAGGGAAAAGGGGAGTTGAGTTGAGTGAGAAGAAAAAGAGAAAGAGAGAGAGAGAAAGAAGATTCCAATGGCGAAGTTGAAATTTGGCGGATCTTTGGATCTTCGAAGACCGTCGTCTTGCGTTCGGTCTCTCCGCCCCCTCCTCCTGCTACTCCTCCTTTTTCTTCCCCCTCCACCGCACTCCCCTTCCCATCGCAGTCAACCTTCTCGCTCTCCAGTCTCCACTGGCTTGGCAAAACGGGATTCTTTCCTTCTCCGGTTCGCCGCCGTTCTCCATACACGCTCGACGCTTTCTACGTGTGTATTGGTGGATTGTCTGTGCCGTCCGTGAAGCCTTCTCTGCTATGTTGCCATGTCTTCACGCAAACGTAACGGCGCCGCGTTGCCATTTATCCATCGTTACGCCATCTTCCTCTTTTTCGTTTCTATTCTATTCTATCCATCTCTCTCTCTCTCTCTTTCTCGGGTTCTACCCCTCTCCCGTCACTTCCCCCGTCACTTAGACCCTTTCTCTCTCCCTCTTTCTCTTTATTTCTTTCTTTCTTTCTTTCTTTCTTTCTTTCTATATCTTTCTATCTTCTTCTAGCTCATTCGTTCTCTATATTCGCTTTTCTTCTTCTTCTTCGTTCACCCAACTTTACCCACTCTCTTTCTTTCTTTCTCTTTCTCTCTTTCTATCTCTTTCTCGCTCACTCTGCAACCAGGTCCAACCATCCCAACACCCCTCTTCATCCTACAACGGTCGCATCCCCTCTTCCGCTCCTTTTGCAGCCCTTCGCGCCCTACAGCCAGGCAGCAGCAACCAGCAACTTGCTTATACCCGCTACAATACCGTATCTATTACCTACGGAACCCTCTCTCATTTTTTTATTTATGTTAAATTCCTTTTTTTTTAATATGAAATTTTGTCATGCGAGATTTACAAGCTTTTTTTTCTTGTTTGTTTCATTAGATACAATTTTGTATATTTGTATATGATATTATTTAAGTTTTTAAGTTAAAGATTGTTAAAATGATTTTGTACGAAACTTTGAATGCATCGTTCTCTTTAACGGTATATATTTTAACCTCGGATACGAACTAAGGAATATTAAATTGCGTTAGTTTATCTTTCTTCCGTAAAATAAATAGAAATAAAAGGAGGGATTTTGAGAATAGAGAAATAGAGACACGTTTGTCTCTTCTTATTTTTTTATCTTTTTTTTTTCTTAAAGTTATTTCGAATCTCGAAGGATGAGTTTTTAGAGTGTAGAAAGATTACTTGAGATCGTAAGGAGAAGTATGTTGTTCACTTAGGATTACTTTTGATCGTTACTAAAGAAAGAGAAAGATAAATACACAGAGATAAAGAAAGAAAGAATGAGAGAGAAAAAAAGAGACGCATAACGCAAGAATACAGAACGTACAGCCGGAAATGCATTGAAAGTGATGAAGATGAATCCATGTGTGCGAATCAATTGTTGAATTCTAAATGATTGAATCGTATTGATCGTGATAAAAGCAATGAGCACCTACTAAACGAATGCCATTGATAACTAATGTTATTCAAATAAATATGTATAATGATGTTTCATTTCTTTCAATAAGAATATATCACTGTGTGTGTATCAGTTTAACCTTTGCATAGTATAGAATTAGTATCAAAGTATAACGTAAATAAATATAATACGCATATGCATGTGTGTGCACTTGTGCAAGGATATGCATTCTTAGAATATGTAAATAAATAAAAATTTATTGAAGCATTTAAAAAATAAAATAGAGTATACAAGAGGAAGATGCAGCGTCTGTAAATAAAATTTCTTTCTATGGTACACACTTCTATTATTCGCGAATATTCGATTTTGTCGAATCGATTCCATGATGCATAACGTGATATGCGGAAAATATCACGTTGAAGAGAATCTTGCGAGCAGTTGGTAGTTCTTCTTCGTGGTCCGTGGTGTGCGGCATCTTGCTCGACTTTGTTCCATCTACTTTAAGTCGGGAAGATCTTTACACAATTTCAGCAGTATTACCGTTCCTATCGTTCTTATATATATATATATATATATATATATAGGAAATATGCATATATTTATACACTTATATGTATACATATATACATACATATTTAAAAACAATTAAAAAACCTAACGAATAAATAACAAATTCGATAAATCTTATAAATCCTATAAATAAATACTATAAAAATTTTAACTAACAAACATCTGAACAACGTTGAAATATAAAATAATAATAATAAAAAATATTCATTAAATATAATTAAGAGAAAAAAATATAATAAGTTTTCTAAAGAAAGAGAGGCATTTTAAACGGATAGTAAAAAGGGGCGATTGAAATGCCACTAATAGATACGGGCTTGACCTGACGCAGTCCTCTTTCTCCCCCCCAGGGCCACCCTCGTTTACGCTACACCGCTAGTCGGTCGTGCCCCTCTCCCACTAGGCTTTCCCTCTCCTCTCCCCTAGATATCGTGTCTGTCTCTGTTAGGCATACGAATCGTACGAAGGCGTCTGGAGTTAGTCGTTCTTTCTCTAACTCGGTCGTATTCGGTGTTAGTCGGTTATATTCGATGTTACTCGGTTAAACTCGGTAGAGCTCGGTTGGGTTCCCTTTACACGCGACTCGTTACTTGGCCTGACTCCTTCTCTCTCTCTCTCTCTCTCTCTCTCTCTCTCTCTTTCTCTCCCTCGATGCTGGTCGTAAATGGTTAGATGCGCATGCGCGAGTTGCCATATCTATCTATTTCTCTCACTCTCTCTTAGTTAAAACCCCCTACGATCGGTACGTCCCTGTTCTCTCGCGACCCCACCTACCAGCGACACGAAAACTCTTAGCCCCCCGGCCCTCCTTCCTTGCTGATATCCATCCCCTTCCCCCTAACGTCTCCCTGATGCCGCCTTGCCTGGCTGGCAGCCTGTGCCGTCCGTCCTTACGTCCGTCCGTCCGCCGTTTGGTAGGATCTATGCTTGTGTCGGTGGATTTCGTGACGTTAACCTGGCGGCCCTGAAAACGTCGTCGTTCGCGGACCGATCGTGCGTTTTCGACTGTGCCCTTTACGACGTCTGTCCGTCGGTGTGATACGCGCGCACTAGTGTAATTCTATTTCTTTTTATTTCAATCTTTTTTGTATCATTTAACACATTTTCTATTATTTCATCGTCATCGTCGTCATCGTCTTCTTGGTCGTCGTCGTCGTCGTACTCGTTCTCTTCGTCCTCGTGTATATTAGTAATTGTAATCTTTTATATTACTAGCTAATATTATTCTCGTCGGGGTTTTTTTTCCTTTTTTTTTATAAATCATCGTCATCGTCATAATCGTCGTCGTCGTCGTCAATTTTGTGTCTGTGTGTGTATGTGTATGTGTGTTGAACGCATATGCGGTAGCCAGTCAGCCCAATTGGAACTAAAACCCGAAGAGAATATATTATACACAAGAGAATATGGTTTAACAGGGTAAGGAAGGAAAGAAGGAATGATAGAATTGAAATAAGGAACTATTTGAAAAGGAGGAATATAAAATGTGGCGTGATGGATAAATAACGCTACGTTACTAAAAAAAAAACCGCGTCTACTTCTTCATCTTCTTTTTATCATCTTTTGAATCATCTTTTGATTACCACAGTACAACATACAACCGAAGATCGTGTAACCAGTGTAATATTGGTGTTTTCCTAGTCCCTTTACCCCTCCCCTTTTCTTCGTCCCCTCCCCGTTGCGAATATTACATTTACAATCCTCTTTACAAATACCTATCGTCAACCTGTTTATTATTATTATTATTTATATTATTTATATTTTAAATTTCATTATCGACGGTTCAACGAATTCTTTTTCCAAATACGAAAAATATCATTTAAACTTTATTTCTCTCGCTTTCACCGCGTCGTTATTATGTTCTTTGTCTCTCTTTCTATTTCTCTCTCTCTYTTGCTCGATCTTGCTCGTTCGTTCTCCTTTACCACCCCCTCTCTTCCTTCTGCCCCCCTCTTTCTCCTCTACCTCTTCCTCCTACTGTTCATCTTTCTCTCTTTCTTATATTACTGTATTTATCTTTCCTTTTCTTTTTTATTTAATTTTTTTTTGTTAATTCTTTACACAACAAAAATACACGGAATGTGTGTTCATTCATCATATTATATCCCAATCCTTCCTTGTTCCTTTTATTTTTATTCCTCGATGCAATTATGCAAATAATAATTGAAACGCTAAGAACACAAAGAAGAAAGAGAGAGATAAAACATATATATATATAATAAGTGGAAGAGAATTCTTTTAAAAAATTGTGAGTGAACGTGTGCAAGAAAGAGAAGCATATACTGTGTTGTATGCGTGTGCGTGAGAGAGATAGAGATAAAAAGAGAAAGAGAGAGAGCTAGTGGAAAATCGTGAAACACGAAGAATACGAGAAACGTTTTGCTTGTATGTTTTTTGTTTTTGTTTTTTTTTTAAACCTGCACCTGCACCTGCAGTTTGAAAGCACCTTAAACGATCGTATTAGGTTGATATTTGAGAAATCTAATCATAAAAAAATATTTGACGACGGAAATAATATTACTTGTACTTTAGACAATCCTTTCGATGATAAAAGATAAGAATAACACACGATAATTTGTTCGTCGTTGTAATATATAGGTTATAATATGACGCGATTCGTTCTCTAGTGAATTTCTCTGACCGCCCCGTCGGTGTACTTCGTTGTCGTTCGTCAATCGTCGTCATCGTAGTAAGTCATAGTCGTCGTTGTTCTCACAAAATATATTCCGCTTTTATAAAGGACATCTCACGAAGAGGAGGATGTGACGGTGGTGGTGGGTGGAAAAAGGGTTTTTTTTTAAAAGAATTTGATTCGTCCTGGACTCTCTTGTTTGTTCCTTCGTTCCTTCGTACATCACAGATTCTCAGTTCTCTGATTGTTTCTTTCTCTTGATTGTGTTTTCTTTTCTAGTAAATTAGATAATTTCTGTTATCTTTTAGATAATCCGTTACTTTACGATATATACACATGTATATAACATGTATGTGTGCCTGCGTGTGCGTGTATAATATATATTGCGCGTATATGTATTATTCCAGCTCGTCCACTTAACTGAACTATAGAGAGACAACACAAGTTTTCATCTAACTTCGTCCGTCGTAGTCGTCATCGTGTTTGGTTGCATACTATTCAAACAAGATTGTTAGTGTTTTCCAACCCAATGAAGAAGAAGGGTCGATTGAAATATGTCGTGTTTATGTGATCAACAAAACTACTACTACTACTACTGATGTTACTACTGATTCTTTCAAAAGTTACCGACCGAGGAAAAAGTAACTAGTGTTTTTGTTCTTTATTGTTATTGAGTGATAAAAGGAAGAAAAAGAATAGAAAAAAGGACAAAAGGATCTATGAATAATCTTCCAATCGTTACCATAATATACAGTATTCAACAACCTAACAAGGTTTGTTATTATTTACAGGTGCATTTAAATCTTTATTGGTAAAAGGATACATTACCTAACTCCTAAATTTAGTGTGAATGTTCCTTTATTTCTTTCTTCCTCTTTTTTCTATTCTTTAAGAAAGTTCGTAGACCCTAGGGAAAAGGAAAATACTAAATAGTAATAATAATATAAACGTCTCGGCACCTATTCCTTTAAATCAACAAAGTAGCATCATCATCTGAGAGGCACACGTCGAATTCTGAGGTAGTTGACCTACAGAAGAATAGAAAGAGAGAGAAAGAGGGAGAAATGAGAAGATACCTTGAAAAAGGAAAGAAGAAAGAAATGAAGAAATCTGATAGATAGAAAAAAGATAGAAGATATACAGATAGAAAATCAAGAAGAAAGATGTTGCTGTATGTGTCTTCTTCTTCCTTTCCTTCATGGCCGTTAAGAGACGAGAAGAAACTTACGGAGAGAGGAATACGTTTGAGAAGCAAAACCCGAAATAGAGAGGACTATTAATAGTTCACGATATCTTCTTCTTCATCTTCATCTTCTTCTTCTTCTTCTAATACTTCTGGATCCCGTCTCGTATGAACTTGAAGAGAGAAATACTGGAACGCAGTGTGTGGTCGTCTTTACAAACAAAAATCCGTACGTATTATTATTATTATTATTATTATTATTATTATTATTATTATTATTGTTGCATTCATATATATACACATATATTCATTTGTTATTATACCAAAAGGAGAGTGCCATATTGGAATATAATTGATAATAAGACAAAGTAAAAAAGAGATATATATATATATAAATAAATGGAAGAAGAGAAATGAAGAAAACAGAAATCTTCTTCGTATTTTCCTCTAATCATTGTACCGTCGTCTTCATCATCGTCGTCATCGTCATCATCATCGTCATGCCCGCTGCTTTTTTCCCTTCCCCCTCCCCCTCCACCATTACTACACTTCTTTAATATCTTCCTCTCACCGCGCAACGCGCAATGCAGCGCCGCGCCGTTTTATTCCCCCTCCCGCCCTCCTTCCTCCCACTCTTTGTATTTCGCGCAACTCTATCCCCACCACTGGAGCAGTGTTACCACTCAAGTTTTGTTCTCATTCGCCGCCGTCACTAGCACCGCCGCCGCCATTGCCGCCATCCAGCACCTTTTCGTGGCCGTTGGCTCGACGACTACGAAGACGAAGACGATACGAATTGTCGCGGAATGCCGTACGAAGTTATACGAAGAAAATATCGTCGGTCAAACAACCGACGGGCCCAATTCTCTATTTTTTTTACGTTTCTTATTTTTATTGTTTTTGTTCTTTCTTATTTCTAGTTCTTTAGTTCTTATTGTTGATATTCTTGTTTGAACTTATTCTTGTTTTAGTATTTCTTTTATTATTTATCACTATATTTTTCGTTTTCTCTTTCTCTCGTTATTTGGTATTTATATTGACTTATTTTTTTGAGGTTATAATATTTTAGAATTTAGTATCATAACCTTTTAGATTTTGAATGTATCGTTGACCAATTGTAAAATACGTTTAGCACACATACATGAGATATTGTTGTGTAATTATTTAAATTTAATATTGCATAAGTTTATTTATGATTTAGTAATCAAATTTATTATTAGTTATTGTCATTAATTATTTTATATATATATATATGAATATATATATAAAATAATTAATTTATATGTAAAAAAATGAAATTTAAAAAAGAAATTAAAGAGTTATTAAAAGTTAAAATCGTATTGCAAATTACAAAAGGGCGGGAAATTTGATTGAAATTCAAAATGGATGATTCTAATTGGAGTTAATTTAATTATACGCTACGATAAAAAAAATATATAAATGACGTATTATATTTTCAAATTAATTAATATAATAATTAAAGAATAAATATATAGTTATGGGGCTTATTATAGTAAATTAAAAAATGACGAAAGCTAAAGAGATATAATGAAGAGAGAGTGAGAAAGACAGAGAGAGAGAGAGAGAGAGAGAGAGAGAGAGAGGGAAGACATTATATTTCATAACTGTGAATTACTATCAATAGCATGTTATCGAAGTTTTCTTTATTCTTTCTTTCTATCTTGTAGTAAACTAACGAAGATAATTATGATTCCGAGGTCAGAAAGATGAAGAGAGAGTATAATTTTATTCTTGAAATACCAATCTCTCTCTTCCTCTCTTTTTTTCTCTTTTACTATGACATCTCATTTATTTCTTATTAATCATTCGTTTAAGATGAACGTTCTTTTAAGAATTTCCAATAATTTAACGATTGAACATCTTAAACTCGAAACTATTAACCTGTGCGATGTTTCATAATTTCGTCATCAATATTAAAAATAAAAATGAAAATAAAAAAGGTTCCTTCATTTATTAATTAATTTATTTATTTTGTCAATTAAATATAATAGAAGTATATTAAATAAGATTATAATATTTTATATATGGATTTTGTTCGTTTTATAACAGGCCGCCATTTTCATTTTTGAATAAACCAATGAAACAAAAGAATCTTCAATGATGGTGGTCATTTTGTTATCGAATTAACCAATGAGAGAAAAGAAAGACAAAGGTGGTCATTTTATTTTATACGGAATAATGGAAAATACGTTTATGTTGTTTTTTTTCCTTTTGTCATCAGGATTATTGTTTAATGAGAAAATTTCGACATAGAATATTTTTTAAATGTTATTTTCGTGATGAAAATATTTATTAATGTTCTTTTCATATTTATTTTGTTCTTTTATTTAGAAATTTTTGTTTGTATCCTAATAGGAATGACTAAAGTTGAATAAAAATGTTAGTTAGTTGTAGCTACGTTGTTCTAGCTACTTCCGCTTTAAAAACTAGCAGTTATATACCCGCGTTTTATAGTTGCCTATGAGCGACGGGATCCTCAGCCGTCGGCAACACCATAAAAAGAAAGAAATAGAAGAAAAATACTCAATAAAATTCAATTTAATTTTTTTCTTGTTGTTTTTTTTTTTTAATACAAAATACAAATGCTACTCAAACGTTCCATACAATATTTGTAATCTTCTGTTTCTTTATAATTGCAAACATTATTATTATTATTATTTTTGCACACGGTTATTATTACATAACCAATCCAATCAAGTAGTATCATTGTAGTCATTTATTATCACTTATCTTGAAGAAACTTTTGATCATAGAGGGAAATATTAATTTAAACCTAATCTTTTTCGTAGAAAAAAAAATTATTTACTTTTTTTTATTCAATGATATAAAAAAAAATTCAACATTGCAATTTAAAGAATTCTTTTTTTGTTTTTTAGTCTTGCATTTGATTTCTTTTCAATCAATACAATTACTCGTATTTATTTTGTATTTGATAGAGAGAAAAATTATTGGTCAATTTATATTGTGTAAATTTGTAGAAATAGTTTTTAAAGATTGGATAAAAAATTAGAAATAATTTTTTTTTTCAAAATGGCCCCGTCACACACGAAATCTGCAATAACGCAATCTGGATATTGTACAACAGTTATAACTGTAGACATTTATTTAGTTTTTATATTGTTTTATTCACTATTACCACTACTACTACCCACTAACGGTTTAGACATAAGCATAATAGCATTTTTTTTATACTATCTTTCTTTTTCTTTCTTTTTCTCAGAGATAAAAAGCAGAGGTTCTTACATGAACAACTCGTACGACTTCTCTCTTTTTCTCTCTCTTAACGTCCATTATATCCTTTCCTCGGTTTTACCTCCTATTCTCATTCTAATTTCTTATTCTTATTTGCAAGTTTTCTACGTAGACCTTTCCGTTGGCGTCGGCGTCAGCAGTGGTGTGGCGGTGGTGGTCGGTTGAAACTATTCCAATAATGAAATATATTCTAATATTTTAATTTTAAATTAGAAAGATTATACATAACGTAATATTAGGTGGACCGGAAAATAATGTCGTTTCTACATATGTCAAATTTTGTATATTTTTATCAAAAACCGATTGATTTTTATCAATTTGATATTAAAAATTTGCATACTAGATGAAGAAAGGTTGTTCATAACAAAGTTGATTATATTATTGATTAAAAATATAAATTTGTTAGAAATTTATTCGTGTGAATGTAAGGTTAGAAAGCGACGTTACTTTCCGGTCCACCTAATATATATATTATATACAGTATTTGTTTTGATCAAATTTCGTTGTACAATCAACCACCATTTTCGTTTTTTAACAAACCATCGGGGTTTCAGTTTATTTCTTATACAAAATGGCGTACCTTCATTTTTCTTACAAGTTTTAATGGAAGATTTTTTTTAGGAAAAAATAAATGTGTGTATCGAAATTTATTTGTATGTGAATAATTATTTTTTAATAATAATAATAATAATAATAATAATAATATATTTTTCATTCAATGATCAAAAATTTTCTTAGTAACCAATAAGAATAACGTCCACCACTTTGTTACTAAATTACAGTTTGCATTAATATTTTGTTTTAAAAATTGTATATATTGAAAAATATTAATCTGTACGAACTTTGCATGTAAAATTCAATGTGTTTGTGTGTGTATGTATATATATATATATATATAT